TTTATCACTTCATCAACTTTTATGTTATTTCTTATTATATTATTATTCAAATGATTTCATTTGTTTAATTGAAGTATTTCATTATTAATGATTGTATTGTCAATTATTAGTATGTTTGTGTTTTATTTATCTTTTCATATTTATTTGTTCATTTCTTTTATCTTTATTTTGTTACATTCACATTATTTATCAATTTACATTATTTATTCTTTGAATTCATTAATTTTGATTTAAAATACTTTTATTTGTTTATTGAGTTTGTTTTCATATTAATTTATTTCTATTGTTATAATATATAAACATTTGATATATTTTGTTAATTGATATATTTCATTAGTTATATTTTCTTTGTATATAATGTTTCTTTATTGTAGAGAATCATTTGTAATCAATTTTGTATAATTCTTATTACTTTCTTATTCTTTTCTCTTTTCTTCTTTCTTGTTATCATTTATATATCTATAATACAAAACATACTGTTTCTATTTGTTGAAGATAATAATTATAAAATAATGTATGATTGATGAGATAATACTTTTGATATTTCTTCATTTCTCTTTGATACAATGTTTAGTGTTTGTATTTTAACATATCTTGATCTGTTGTCTCATCTATCTTCTTTTATCAAAATCTTCATTATTCTTCTTTGAAAATTATTTGATTACATCTGTTTTATTTCATTTTTCATCTTTTGTTTAATAATTTCTATCATTTCATCTAGTTCATCTGATAACTAATTCATAGATTGTACTTTACTTGTTCATTCTTTTTCTTCTATCATTTTCAATTCTTGTTTTTCTTGATCAATCAAAATGTCTCATTGTTCATCAATCTCTTTAAATTCATTCTAATTTCTTATCTTCTTACCTTTCTTTATTCCTTTTCATCAACACTAAGTGAATCATAATTACATTCCAATTGATTGAATATTATAAAAACATTCCATCTCTTTGTGACGTAAACTTTAGATTATTTCTAATGACTAAATACACCTCTTATTAGTCATTTCAATGTTTTAAATTTCATTCATATCATTGACATGAAGTTGTACTCATTTAATAAATCATTCCAATGTGTTTCATTTCTCTTTTTATAATTTGATTTACCATCTTTATTAAATCATTCAATTTCTTATTTTTTAGTTCAATTTTATTATTTTTAGAATATTTCCTCAATAATTAAAATCTAATAAATAATTTTTAGATTAAAATTAAAATAGAAATAGAATAAAATAGAATAATAATCTTAAAAATATTTGAAGTTCAAATTTAAATAGAAGAATGGAAAAAACAACTAATAAACAATAAACCAATAATGAAATTAGGATATAATGAAATAATGATAACATCAATGTACTTTGATGATATTGAAGATTTTATTAATTTAGAAATGGGAGTTAAAAGATTTCAAGGAAATGTGGAACGATTTCATTTTAATCCAATTCCTTTAAATTATTGTTCAAGAAAATTATTTACTAATATTGAAACATTTCATATTTATAATAGAAGTGATGAAATATTTAATGATGGAAAAATATTTAAAAAAGTAATATGGTATTTAGTAAGTTATTCAACATATTTACAAGAAAAAGAACAAGGAAATATCTGTAAAAATATAGTATATACACAATATGATAGAAAATTATATGGAAATACAATACCATCAGAAGTTAAATCACTTGGAGATTATTGTTTTAAAGATTGTTATGAACTAACAACAATTAATATACCATCAACAATTATTAAATTAGGAGATAATTGTTTTGATGCATGTAAATCATTAAAATCAATTACTATACCAACAACAATTAGTAAAATAGGAAATGATTGTTTTGAAGAATGTTATTCATTAAAATCAATTAATATACCATCATCAATAAGTAAAATAGGATTTGATTGTTTTGATGGATGTACATCATTAACATCAATGAACATAGAAAATCTACAATTTATTAGTAAAAAAAGAATATTTATGAATGAACCAGTGTTAATTAGTATTGAAATACCAGATAATATACAAATAATCAATGGAAAGAATATTGAAAAGAAAGATATTAATAAATTTATTATTCCATCTTCAATTACTAAATTAGGTGATTATTGTTTTAGTTATTATCCATCATTAACATTAATTAATATACCATCATCAATCATTGAATTAGGATATGGTTGTTTTTATGAATGTTCATCATTAAAATCAATTAATATACAATCATCTGTTAGTAAATTAGGAAATTATTGTTTTTCTAGATGTACGTCATTAAAATCAATTAATATTTCTTCATCAATTACTAAATTAGGATATGATTGTTTTGAAGGATGTAGATCATTAACATCAATTAATATACCATCATCTATTATTAAAATAGGAAAATGTTGTTTTAGAAGATGTAAATCATTAAAATCAATTAATATACCATCATCAATTAAAGAAATAGGAAACAGTTGTTTTTATCAATGTTCATCATTAATATCAATTGATATACCATCATCAATTACATTATTTGGAGATGGATGTTTTTATGAGTGTGACTGTGAAGAAGAATTAAAAAAGAATGAAAGAATACCAACAGATTGTTTTAAATGATGATGAATGAAATAAAAATATAATAAATGAAATACAATATAAATTGAAGTAGAAATAAATTATAATTGATTATCATTTATATTATTATTATTCTTTTCTTATTTATTCTTTTTGATGTTATTCTTTTTTATGACTTAAAATATTTATTATTATTTATGGTATAGGTTTATATTTTCTTATATCTTCTATTTTATCATATTTATTTATTATCTTTTATATCTTTATTATTATTTTATTATTGTTGATTATTCTTATATTCTATATTTTATCTTATGATTTTCTATTATTAAATATAAATTAAATGAATTTGATATTATAGATAAATAAATATCAATTTTATTAATCTATTTGTATTTATATAATATAAATATCAATAAAAATAAATTATAAGTTAAATTAAATGAAATATGAATATGAATAATATTAATATGAAATGAAATAATTAAATAATAAGAATATATTTAAAATATAAATATCAAATACATGAATAAAATAAATAATATAAATAATAAAATATAAATCAAAATAAATAAATAAAATAATGAATAATAATCAAATATTAAAATATGAATATGTATTTAATCAAATATATAAACATATATTAATTACATATTTTATTAAATTTAATGAAAATTGATTTTAATATATATCATAAATGTATATTAATAATAATATATTCTTATATTAAATTATTGATTTATTTGTTAAGGACCATTCTTTTAATGATAGAATACCAGATATATATTATCAAATCAACAAAGAAAAGGATATATTAATGATGTTGATATATGTCAAGATAGAAATAAT